TCCACTTGCTTCACTAGATCCATTCTCCACTCTTCTCCACGCTGCTTGGTGCTCTTAAAAACCTGACTCATATACACCATGGACTGTATTAATAAGCTCTCTTGTTCTCTGGCATCGGGTTAGTTTGTAGTGAATGGTAGATCCTTGCCAATGATTGTAGAAGGAGGAAAATGAAGTCACAGTATTTAGTTTTCTGGTTTCCTCCTTGCAGAATTTCTGTAGTCTTGTTTCATCCCCTTGCCTAGATCATCACTTTTTGTCTGACAGTTCTCTACACACAGCTTCCTAATTCTCTAGATTCCAGTAAATGTCTCCTCATTCACCCTACCAAACTTAGGGTTAATCACAGTTGCCTTCCTCTTTCCAACTGCAAGTTATTTCTTCTGGTTTTCCTATACAGTCCCATTCCTCTGCAGTCACTAAGTGTTAGACATTTATTAAACTTTTCTCTAATTTTCCATATTTGAGTGTAGAGTCTGTTTCCCATCAGAACAATTCTTGATACAGTTCTTTCCATCACTTGCCCTTCAACACCATTTCAAGTCTCAACATCACTCAAATTTCTTCCTTCCTCAAGTGACTATTTAATTCACCTCTTTTCCTCTTAAAGGTCCACAACTGAAAATACTTATTCAAGTGTAGTCTGATCAACACAGGACAGAAAAAGTCACCTCTTGCTTTAGTTACCTTTCATGGAATTTATTCAAAGCTACTAATAACTTTTGAACAGCCTCTTCACATTCTTGGTTCACTATATATTCACTGTCAATTGAAAACCTCTCAGTTGATTTTTTGATACTACTGTTAAATCAAATGCCTCTCATTCTATTCATAAGACGTTAGTTTTAGAATGCTAAGATTAAAGCATTCCAATGTTCTCTAGTAAATTTTTTCTTGTCAGATTAAAACCATAGTTAAAGTGGTCCACAGTCTAGCCTGTTTAAATTCTTACGGCATTTAAATCTTGTTATTGGAAAAATCTTCTAATCTTTGTGTCATTTTCAGACTTAATATATATATTGTCAAAATCTGTGTTCTAACCCATTGTCATGAATCTATCAAAAAGAGAGGGCTGAGAGTATCTGGATGACAAATAAGCACATTAAAATGATGTGTAACATCATTAGCCATCAGAAAAATGCAAATTCAGATCACAATTAGATATCAGTACATACCTTCCAGAAAGGCTAAGTTTTTAAAAATGACAAAATCAAACTCTAATGCAGATGCAAAGAAACTGGGTCATGCATGCACTGCTGGTGGGAATGTAAATGATACACCCACATTAGAAAGGTTGGGATTTTCATACACAACCAACTATGGCAACTACCATACTACCCACAATCTGGGTAATTATTACAGAGAAACAAATCTTATTTTCACACAAAATCCTGCATGTGAATGATTATAACAGCTTTATTGTAATAGCCAAAAACTAGAACCAGCTCAGATATCCTTCAACAGGTAGAAAGATTCGGCAAACTGTGGTACATTTATACCATGGAATATCACACTCAGGAGTATAAAAGAATAAACTATTGATACATTCAATAACATGAATGAATCCTCAGAGACATATGGTGAGTGAAACAAATAATAATTGATATGGTTTAGATGTTTGTCTCCTCCAAATTTCATTTTGAAATGTAATTCCCAATGTTGGAGGTAGGGTCTGGTGGTAGAGGATTAGATTGTGGGGGTGAGTCTCTTATAAATGGCTTAGCACCATCCCCTTTGTGATGAATGAGTTCTTGCTCTGAGTTCACACATGATCTGGTTTTTAAAACGTGTGGCACGTCCTCCCTCTCTTTCTTGCTTTTGCTCTCACCAAGTGACGTGTCTGATTTCCCTTCACCTGTCATAATTGTAAGCTTCCTGAGACCATAATCAGAAGCAGATGCTGGCATCAATTCCTGTACAGCCTACAGAATTGTGAGCCAATTAACTTCTTTTCTTTATAAGTTACTCAGCTTCAGGTATTTCTTTATAGCAAGAGAAGAAAAGACTAACACACCAATTCCAAAGGGTTACATACTAAAAGATTCTGTTGACATAACACTTTCAAAATGACAAAATTATATAAGTGGAGAATAGTGGTCATCAGGGTTTATGAATTTGAGATGAAGGTTGGGTGTGGGTATTAAAGGACAACATGCAAGATCCTTGCGTTGATGAAACTCTTCTGGATTATTATTGTGGTAGTTGTCACTTGAATCTAGGCATATTATAAAACTAAATATAACTAAGCACATGTGCACAGATGAACACATGTAAAACTGGTGAAATCTGAATAGATGGAGTGTGTTAATGTCAGTTTTCTGGTTGTGATGTTGTACTATACTTTTGCAAGATCTGATCATGGGAGAAAACTGAGTGAAAAATACACTAGTATCTCTCCATAGTATTTATTACAATGGCATACTAACAGATAATAAAAGGTGTTCTACATCATTAATCATCAGAGAAATGCCTATTAAAACTACAATGTCACGTTACACTTGTTAAGATAACTGTTATCAACAAGAAAATAAATAACAAATGTTGATGACGGTGTGGAGAAAAAAGAACCTTAGTACACTGTTGGCAGAAAATGTAGATTGATACAATCATAATGTAAAATAATATAGAGGTTTCTAAAGAAATTAGAAAGTAACTACCAGCCAGGTATGGTGGCTCATGCCTGTAATCCCAGCACTCTGGGAGGCTGAGGCAGGTGGATCACCTGAGGTTGGAAGTTCAAGACCAGCCTGACCAACATGGAGAAAACCTGTCTTTACTAAAAGTATAAAATTAGCCAGGCATGGAATTATATGTCTGTAATTCCAGCTACTTGGTAGGCTGAGGCAGGAGAATTGCTTGAACCTGGGAGGCAGAGGTTGCAGAGAGCCGAAATTGCACAATCACAGTCCAGCCTGGGCAACAGGAACAAAACTCGGTCTCAAAAAAAAAAAAAAAAAAAAAAAAAAAAAAAAAAAAAAAAAAAAAAAGTAACTACAATATGGTCCAGCAATCCTTCTTCTAGGTATATACCCAACGGAGATAAAATCACAGCCTCATAGAGATATCTGTGCTCTCATGTTCATTGTAGCATTATTCCGAATAGCCAAGATATGGAAACAACTTAAATGCCCATCAATGGATGAATGGATTTAAAAATTTGGGGTGTGTGTGTGTGTGTGTGTAGTAGTAGTAGTAGTAGTAGTAGTAGCAGTAGTAGTAGTAGTAGTTATACAGAACTAAATATTATTCAGCCTTAATAAAGGAGGTCTTGGCATTTGCCACATGGATTGACCTGTAGGACATCACACTAAGTTAAATAATCCAGACCAAAAAAAAAAAAAAAAAAAAAAGATTTGATGATTGCATATGTGGACTATATAAATTAGGGGCTGAAATAGACTGAGGAAGAGAATGAAATACTGGGGTTGAGAGAAGAAATGGGAGATGTAGGTCAAAGGAAACAAAATAGCAGATATGTAAGATGAACAAGTATAAAGATCGAATGTACAGGGGGGCTAAAATTAATGAAATTGTACCATGAATTTTTGTTAAATAAGTAGAGATTAGATGCTATTATCACACACTTAAACTGAGAAATATGCTAATCTGCTTCACTATAGTAACCATTTTACTTTCTGTATCCCATAATATGATGTTGTAAACCTCAAATATACACAATAAATTTATTTAAAGTAGAATTAAAAAATCCATCACACTTCTATATACTAACATTGAACATGTGAAAATCAAAATTAAACACATGATACTATGTACAGTCACTTGAAAGAAAACGTAATACTAAAGTATAAATTAAACAAAACATGAACCAAAGGGTGGGTACAAATAATAAAAATCAAAATATATTTCTAAAAGTTACAAATACAAAAATACACCTGACATTTCCATTTACAGGGGAAGAAAAGATTAGACATACATAGATGCATCTTAAAAACAGGGGTGAGTGAAACATTAAATATTGACAATGGATACATAAATTGAAAATAAATATTCACAAACAATATGAAACATGTATTAACACTCATACAGAGAAAAGGATGCACATCAAATGCATTACAATGATTGCCAATGTAGACAAGAGAAATGAAACTGGGCCATGGAAATAAAGGAGAATGAATGAGTAAACAGGAGAGGATCTTGAGCAATTAACCCAAGAAATATACCACAGCCCTCTACACTTGATGCCAAAATCACTCTCTTCCCTCCAATGAAAACAATATTTTTTCAAGGGAAAACTTCTTAATCATTGACACTTTATAGGAATGCTGATGTATGGAAGTGGCAACAAAAATACCAGCTTTTACGGACATTCTTGTTTTAAAATTCTCCATAGACAATGCTCCCATTTGTTGCCTGCAGTAGAAACAGGCCACTCCCAGTGTCCTACACTTGGTCGGCTCCTGCTCCACCTAGAGTTTCTTACCAAAAAGTGCCCTAGTATTGGGACCAGGTCCTGCAAACACCATTATTTTAGTGTGTGTGATGTGCTGTTTTACTTTCTGCAGGGTGAGGTTGTTTGTCTTTTTGAGGGTGTTCAGTTGCTCAAAGAATTGGGTGAGCTACAAAACACACTACCATCAGGTATATGTCATGGAGGTGGTGATTTTGATGTCTTCATTTTGGAAAGAGTGTCACGGTCATCTACATACAATGCAGCTCTTTTTATGTGCCCTTCTAAATATGTACATGCTCCAAAAAACACCAAATCCTCTTCTTTGTCTCCTGTGGGATAAAATTTTAAGAAGAAAATTTGTCTCCAGGAATCAGTCCTTCCCCGAGTCCTTATTTAAAATGTCTGCTTCAGCTGTGGGTATACCAGCAACCCTACAGTATCTCATATCCCTCCCTTCTCGAATGTCTACCTCTCCCTTTCCCTTTCTCCTCACCATCACAAAATAGGCAGAGAGATACTCAGTCATCAGCTCCTCAAATTTTATTTTATTGTTATTATGCCTTGTCCAATTCGGTTTCTCCATGTGTGACTAATCCTGCCTACCCTCCTGTGAAGATCCTTGACATGAGTCGAGGTCTTCGTCCTTCTGTGAAGATCCTTCCCATGAGTCGAGGTCTTCATCTTTCTGTGAAGATCCTTCACATGAGTTGAGGTCTTCATCCTTCCGTGAAGATCCTACCCATGAGTGGAGGTCTTCGTCCTTCTGTGAATATCCTTCACATGAGTCGAGATCTTTGTCCTTCTGTGAAGGTCCTTCACATGAGTCAAGGTCTTCGTCCTTCTGTGAAGATCCTTCCCATGAGTCGAGGTCTTCGTACTTCTGTGAAGGTCCTTCCCATGGGCCGAGGTCTTCGTCCTTCTGTGAATATCCTTCCCATGGGTCGAGGTCTTCGTCTTTCTTTGAAGATCCTTCCCATGAGTGGAAGTCTTCATCCTTCTGTGAAGATCCTTCCCATGGGTCGAGGTCTTCGTCCTTCTGTGAAGATCCTTCCCATGAGTCAATTTCTTCGTCCTGCTGTGAATATCCTTCACATGAGTTGAGGTCTTCGTCCTTCTCTGAACATCCTTCCCATGGGTCGAGGTCTTCGTACTTCTGTGAAGATCCTTCCCGTGGGTCGAGGTCTTCGTCCTTCTGTGAAGATCCTTCCCATGAGTCAAGTTCTTCGTCCTGCTGTGAATATCCTTCACATGAATTGAGGTCTTCGTCCTTCTCTGAACATCCTTCCCATGGGTCGAGGTCTTCGTCCTTCTGTGAAGGTCCATCCCATGGGTCGAGTTCTTCATCCTTCTATGAATATCCTTCCCATGCATCGAGGTCTTCATCCTTCTCTGAACATCCTTCAGCTGAGTCATCTAGGTCTTCATCCTCTTGTGAATATCCTTCCCATAAGTCTAGGTCTTCACCCTTCTGTGAAGATCCTTCACATGAGTCTAGGTCTTTGTCCTCCTCCTCTTTGATTGGATCGATGGAATTCTCTCGAGACTGGTCATACTCCATTTGATTTGAATTTATATTCTTATCCTTCCTGTAGTAAAACACTAATATTGTTGGATATTGTGACTTTTTGGTCTTCTTCAAACTTTGATCAGAGGCTAAAACTCTGTTCAGTGTCTCCAGCATCTGGTCAGAAAACAGGGAGGGGCCAGAAAGACGTTATTTTGGTGAATAGGGTAGAGACTGAATAGTGGTGGTGGTGGGGGGGTGTGGTTTATAAGAAGAAATGCAGATTGAGAAAGGGGTTTTTGCCAGAGAAGAACAAGGTGGAATCATAGGGTAGGGATCTATGGGGAAAAAGAGGAGCATGGCTAGGGTCATATGTGTTAGTGCAAACTGCACCATTTTGTAAGCTCTTTATGATTTTGCAGACCTTGGTCAAAGTGAAACATTCCATGGGGGTTCAGGCTGTGAGAAACATCCTGCCTAACCATCTGAGCACAGTGTAGACAAAGGCTCAACTAAAGAAACATCTCCATGACATCTTGCTTGGCAAAGCTCTAAGAAACACCACAATGATATTCCACCAGAAAAAGGGCCAAACCACCTGATCATAAGAACATCTTATCAATATCCTGCTGGGCAGCAAGCCACACTGCCCAGATCCTTCCCATCCATACCCGTAAGTACCCCAGCCTGTAAGCAGTGGTGGGCTCTGGCATTAAGCTGGTCCCCGACTCCCACAGGTGTCTGCAATATACCTGTGTTGCTGTTTGAGCCTCCCCCTCTCTGTGTGTTTTTCTTTCACTCTCACCTTCTTTTCAAAACCTAACATTTTGGTGCCAACACTCAGAATGGTGATTGGGTTCTAATGAGTAAGTTTTCTCTTGCAAGCTGGAAAGCAGCAAGCAGCACAGACTAGACCAGGGCCTACTTCCAGATCCTGAGTGGACTCCCTGTTCCCATTCCCATTCCCCTTATTTCTCTCATCTTCTCCAGCCCTAAGCTAACCTCCAGATATTGATCAATGTTTCCGTCTTACGTTTCCTTCCTTCCCCTTTCCGGGCAGCTGCAACAAGAGTCACCTCCATTGTCGGACATCACATGCAGCACCAGGCTTCAGTTAGTGGGTGAGTTTCCTTCTTCCTCCTTTCCGGATTCCTCTCTGTTTCTGCTGGTTCTCCAAAAAGTTTCAGTGCTGGGTGAGAGGTCTCCCCAGTCACCAGGCAATCACAGCCTGGCTTCTTAAGGGACACCCTTAGAACGCTTGCCACTCTGGCTGCTACGGCCTCCGGGGAACCGTGAATGGCTCTGGGGCTGCCCTGACTCTCCAGATCTCTTCTCCCAGGAGGAATCCAGTACTCACTTCCCTTTGGGGTATTCACTTCTCTCGGGAGTACTCGGTCCCCTCTCGGGTATTCACTTCCTTCCAGGGCACTCACTTTCCTCAGGGGTATCCACTCCCCTTCAGAGTATTCACTCCTCTCTTCCAAAATACAAAACTTCCAAATTGAACATAATCTAAAAAAATTCAACTTCCAAGTTCAACATAATCTAAAAAACTTTCTCCAAAGCAATGGTAAATGATCCGAAGTGCTTTTCTTATCACCATTCATGGCTCTCTCTCTCTATCTCTCTCTCTCTGTGTGTGTGTGTGTGTGTGTGTGTGCCAATCCTGTTCACCTTTTCAAATCTTCCTCCTCCAGGAGAAATCCCCAAAAATACCCCCTCCTCCAGACAAGCCTTCCTCCTCTGTATTTCAACCTGATCCACAAACCCCTTCCTCAGCCTCCTGCCCATGACCATTCCCTTCACCTTCTCCTTCAGCTCCGGCTCCTCCAACCCCTTACTGTAGCCCTGCATCCCACCTTCCTTCTCAACCTCAAACCAGGTCTCACATCGAACCCCCTTTCTCTGAAATACAGTCACATGCCCAAAGGCCTTCCAAAGCCCTTCCCTTGCAGGAGGTTGCGAGGGCTGAAGGCATAAGCTGAGTTCAATTTCCCTTCTCTCTAGCTCACTTCTCCCATAGTGAAAGGAAAGTTGGCTCCTTTTCAATGGATCCTACCTCCTTCCAAAAGGAATGTCTGTACTTCCCAAAATCTTATGACCTTACCTGCCATGACACATATGTCACTCTCTCCTGTACCCTGACCCTGGAGGACAGGAAACACATCTTTATGGACATGCAGGCCCATGAGAACACCTTCCTCCAACAAGATGCTGCTCACAACCCAAAAGAGACTCGAGCTGTCCCCAGAAGTCATCCCAATTGGAATGATCAGGCAATTCCCATAGACAGGAACAAGGCCATACGACATCATGCCTTCTAGCTGGCATAAATAAAGCTGCCCCTGTTCTTTTCTTCTTCTGCCTTTCAAAGGTCACAACTAAATTTGCCACCATAAGCCCTAATACAAATAAGGGCAAAGTCTATCTCCATTTATACTTTATCCCTGAGTCAGCCCCAGACATTTGAAAAAAAGCTTAAAAATCTGGAGGATGGCCCACAAACCTACTGAAAAGACTTAATCAAAGTGGCCTTTAAGGTCTTTAAGAATAAAGAGGAAGAACTGAAAATCCCAAACCTAAAAAAGGACCAGGCAAACTACCAAATGCTGGTAGCTGCCACTCAACGTGGTTCCCAAGGCATACAGAATCCCTCAACTTGGCAACAGTCACCTCCAGGAGCCTGTTATAAGTGCAGTCAACAGGACACTGGGCAAAAGCCTGCCCTAATCCCAGGACACTCTGGAAACTTTGCCCTATCTGTGGTATCAAGGAACACTGGAAGTCAGACATTGCTCCGTGAAACTCTTCATCCTGCTTTACCACCTCTACCTGAAGACTGACAGGGAGTCCACCGCCCCCACTGCCATCACCACCTCAGAACCAAGGGTAATGCTGCCAGTCTCTGCTAAGCCCATGTCTTTCCTATTGGACACTCAAAGAGAAAAATGGTTACTCAGTTTCACCAGAATGTTTTAGACCACTTTTCAGTTCTTCCGTGTCTATTGTGAGATTCAATGGAATCCCCTCTATGCCCAGACTGGTCTTTGATTATACAAACTATTCCACACCCCGCTTCACCCACCCTTTCCTTTATCCCTCAGTGTCCTACCCCTATCTTGGAGCGGGACATATTCAGTAAATTCCAGGCCTTCATGCAATGTGGCTCCTACAATTCTACCCCTTTTATTTTCCTCTGCTGCTCAAATGCTCTCCTCTCTCTCTTATCCCTCTCATCCTTATTATCCACCCTGTTACCTTCTGTTAATTCTAAAGTTTGAAACATTTCTAAGTGCTCAAGAGCCACACATCATAACCCAATTAAAATAACCCTTCAAAACCCCTCCATTTTCCTTCATCAGTCTCAATACCCCTTTAATGCAGCCAGCCTCAGGGTCCTCAAACCTATTATCTGTAAACTTTTACAAGCTCAAATTCTCAAGCCTGTCAACTCTCCCCACAACACCCCTATTCTGGCTTTCTAAAAGACAGGCTCGTCTTACTCCTTGGTCCAGGATCTCCAGGTTGTGAATGAGGCAGTGATACCAATCCATCTAGTGGTCTGCAACCCATATACTCCACTCTCCCATATTCCCCCATCTACCACACACTCCTCTGTATTGGAACGAAAAGACACCTATTGCACTATTCCCTTAAATCCGGTTTACCAAATTCTTTTTGCTTTAACTTGGTAAAATCCTAATATTCACATGTCCACCTGACTAACATGGACAGTACTCTCCCAGGGGTTCCAGGATAGCCCCCACCTATTCAGACAGGCCCTCGTCAAGGACCTAGCTGAACTTCCCTTTGCTCCTAGCACCCTCCTCCAATACTTCAATGACCTCCTTCTCTGCAGTCCCTCCCTTAACCTGTCCATCCAACACACCACTCAGATTTTAGGTTTTAAATTTCCACAATCAGGGATATTAGGCCTAACCCACAAAAGCTCAGGTAGTCCAAACCCAAGTTACTTACCTTGAGTTTGTCCTAACCCCTAATTCTTGAGCCATCCCAAGCCAATGAAAGGAGCTACTTTGGGACATGCTCCTTCTTCACACAAAAAAGTACTTCCTCTACTTCTTGGTCCTTGTGGGATATTTCTGGCTGTAAATTCCCAACTTTGACTTGCTGGCCAAGACACTCTACAAAGCCACACATGGGCCCATCCTAAAACCCCTAATTCTAACTTGTCCCATCAACTCCCACTTTAAAAAAAAAAAGCTAAAAAATGCCCTTTTAATGTTGCTGGCACTGGGATTTCCCAACCTTCCCAAGCCCTTTACTTTGTATATACATGCTGACCAAGGCCTTGCTCTTGGACTGCTCTGCCAAAGATACAGCAATGCCACATAAGCTGTTGCATACCTCTCAAGACAACTGGACTCTGCCATCCAAGGCTGGTCACTCTGACTATAAATCTTGGGGGTGGCCACACTGCTGGCCTCAGAGACACAGAAACACACTCTTTACCAACACATTACTATTGCCTGTTCCCATAACCTACAGGACTTCATAAACCATCAGTCCCCTGTATCCTTCCCACCATCCCACTTATAGCAGATACATGACTTACTCATAGGTAACCCTTAATCACCTTCCAGAGACATAAAACTTTCAACCCAGCCACACTCCTCCCTGTAAATACTTCCCACTCTAAGCTCTCCACTCTTGCCTGGACCTCTTAGACTCCCCATCCTCCCCCTTCCAACACATTTCAGAAGCCCCTTTGCTGGGAACACATACACAGTTAATTAATGGAAGCTCTTTTAGGGAGCCATGTCCAGCAGCTGGCTATTGCATCATTGCTGAAAATAATCTCCTAGAACCCAATGCTCTCCCACCCCATGTTACCTCTCAACAGGCAAAGCTAGTTGCCCTAACCAGGGCCCTCACCCTAGCAAAGGGAAAGAGAGTCAACATTACACCCATTCCACATACGCATACCACATCCTACACTCTGATGCCTTAATCTGGCAGTTATCTGTAGTTTTCAAACTACAAAAGGAACTCCCGTAAGAAATGGCAAATTAGACATAAGCTGCTGGAGGTGGCTAAACTACCACTAAAGGCCGCCATTATTCACTGAAGGGGCACCAAAATGTTACAAAAACCTTAACCAGGAAAATCTTTTCAATATGTTTGGCAGCATGGCCAGCAGCCATTAAGACCCCGTCATTATTGCCCATTTTTCCCAGCGTACACCCTCAAGATACCCAGGAGGAACAAACCCCACTTGCCTGGGCTGGCACCATTCAGGGAAAATGGGTCTGTCTCAATGAAGAAAGTGTCTTGGCCAAGTTTTTTAAAAAAAAATCTTCTGTAGTTTTGTATGTGCACAACCATTTCCATGCTGGTAACTGCCCCTATTCCAGCTTTTAAAGACTTAGATACATTCTTCCACCATGTCTGCCAATCTCAAAGATATTACTAAGGTGTGTTCCCTTTGCATTTAAGCTTCCTCTGAAAAAGTTATCAAACCACCTCCTTTCCCACACACGAGACCTGAGGACACCTACCAAGGCAGGATTAGCAAATCACCTTCACCCATATGCCCCCTATAAAATGATTCTATACCTTTAGACTATAATAGGCAGAGTCTCTGGATAGATAAAAGCTTTTCCTATCACCACTGAAAAGGCACACACCATCGCTTCTATTCTCTTCACGCATATTATCCACCAGTTTCAACCCCCTCTTGCATCCAGTCACACAATGGGCCAGCATTTGTTTCACATTTTAACCAACAGTTGACAAAGTCTCTAAACATTTAATGGGCTTTCGATATTCCTCGCCTCCCCAAGTCTTCAGAAAATTAAAAAAAAATAATAACCAACAAATAACCAAACTTTCCCTAAAGGTTAAAATGGCCTGGACTTCACTTCTCCCATTGGTTCTCATGAGTTTATGAGTCATTTTCCAAAAACCACTCAGCCTAAGCCCATTTAAACTCATATATGAATGCCCCTTTATCCACCAGAATCTCCATGTAATTTCTCCCCCTTCTATATGGAATACTTGGCCAGCGTTACACCTTACCCAACATCTAATAAGACAGTATGCACATGCTTACTTTTCCTAGCCAAAAAGGCCATCTTCAAAACACTCCCTGTTCCTACAACAGGGGACGGGCTGAATCGCAGACTCCTTCTCCTCCCTTCTCCAGCTTAAGTGGGCAGGTTGTCACCAGGTTATCCTATCTACTCCCACAGCAGCAAAGCTAGCCTCCTTTTCACACTGAATACACCATTCCAAACTGAAAAGAGCACCAGAGCCACATCTAGAAACTTCCTCACCCCCAAATTATTCTCCCTCCCTCACAGGACCAACATCACTGCACTTAAGAATTCTAGAAGTTCCGTGGCTCACGCCCGTTATCCCAGCACTTTGGGAGGCTGAGGTGGGTGGATCACGAGGTCAAGAGATTGAGACCATCCTGATCAACATGGTGAAACCCCATCTCTACTAAAAATACAAAAAAAAAAAAAAATAGCTGGGCATGGTGGCATGTGCCTGTAATCCCAGCTGCTCAGGAGGCTGAGGCAGGAGAATTACCTGAACCCAGGAGGCGGAGGTTGAGGTGAGCTGAGATCGTGCCATTGTACTCCAGCCTGGGTAACAAGAGCGAAACTCCGTCTCAAAGAATTCCAGAAGTTGCCAATCTGGAAGGCCCTAGTCCATAATACTCCCTGCCTCCAATTTCAAATCTTTTGTTTCAGACTTTGTTTCAGATCTTCCCTGGTTTTCCTTCCCCATGTCCCTGGATAGTCCATGCTAATTTCTCACGCTAACCCAGGAGGTATGACTGCAGGGCACCTTCCAACATTTCACTCCTACTAGAATCTCCTTTTTCTCATTTTGTCTTCTTTGTCTGTGGGATATTCTGAGTCCCCACCCCCAACCTCTATCAGTTGAGACCCTCTGCCTCACACATTGCCTCTTACATCAGTCACACTCTGTCTTTCTTCCAATTGTTAAATTTGTTTGTCCACACAAATCCCACAGCTCACAGCCCTTCCTGTCAACTTGGCCACATAAATGCAGGCCAAAATAAACCTGCATCTCACCTACTCAGCAGATTCATCCCCAAAAACTGTTTATAATCTTGCTACGCTAAACACCTCCCCTGCAATGCCTCAAATCCATCCACAAGGTCACACACAGGGCTGTCACCCTCCTTGCCTCATAGCCTCTTCGCTAAACAGGTTACAAGTCGGAGTCCATAAAACACCTCTCACCAACCCCTCCCCTCTCTGCCAGCCCTGCTCTCCATGTATCCAACGCAAGGGCACTCCCGGGAAAAAATGCACAAACAAGTCCCTCAACTGCAACCTTTAGCCTTCTGCCCTGTCAGGACCCCAATGGCTATTAGTTACAAAAACCCACTTATCTCTCTCTCTCCAAAACCAAGCAGCCTTCACTGACTCCCACCCTAACGTTCCCTATTAGGCCCTCCCAGAGGCTACCCTTGCTGGCAGCTATTCAATTTGGAAAAACGTAAAAGTTAAAACAAAAGGCTTGTCCAGAATTCAACCCCCGTTTTCGTGGCTTGCCACCAGAACTCACAACTCTTGTCTGTCCACCCCCAGTGTCTTCTTCCTTTTCGGCACAGACTCTCATCTCTGCCTACTGGCCAGTTGGTCAGGAACACGCACCCTGGTGTTTCAATCTAAACATTAACCTTTTGCTGAGCAGGCAGACAATCCAGGCTCCTTTAGTAACCTCTGTCTCATCTTCCTCCACACACACTAAGCAGGCTCTACAGCTCATTGTAGTGTTAGCGGAACTAAACACCTCTGCTGCACTCAGCACTGGGATAGCAGGTTGCCCCTTTCTTAGGGCCCCTAATCTTTCTCCTCCTAACACGAACAATTGGCCCATGTATACCTGTCTTCATATCCCACTTTATCTCCTGAAGGCTAACCTCCCTTGTCCAGGCAGCCACCCAGCAGCACATTGATACCACCCTTCTCCTCTGCCAAGTACGGTACCAGTGACTCCAGGGAAACAGCTCTCAAGTTGAACACCCACTGCTGCAAAATCCAAACCCTGATTACAGCACCTCTACTCATCAGGAAGCAGCCAATCAATAATTCCCCTCTTCCTCTTATACTGAAGTTGAAGGCGACAATGTGAGTCCAAACCACCATTTTGTAAGCACCTTGCTGTTTTCCAGACCTTGGTCAAAGAGAAACATTCCATGGGGGTTCAGGCCATGAGAAAAATCTTGCCTAATCACCTTAACACAAGGCAGATTGAGTGTTTACATGCCGGCAGTTGTTCTGAGTGTTTACATGCAGGATACTACAATCTAAGACCAACATGTGCAACAGTGTCGGCATTGTTCAACTTCCTACTAGGAATTTTGTCCAGTGGCAGAAAAAAGGAGGCATTTGAATTGGAAGAGAAGAGCAAGTATCTTCTGTCAAAGACTACATGAGAGTCTATCTAGAAAAGTCAATCTTAGAAAAGGCTTCAACAATCATTGAGGTTAGCAAGATTTCCCAACTAACGAAACACTCCTGTCATATTTTGCTGGGCAAAGTCCTAAGAAACACCACGATGACATCCCACTAGAAAAAGAGACAAACATCCTGATCATTAAAACGTCTTAGATGTCCTACTAGGATCATAAAAACACCTTATCAATATCCTGCCAGGTAGCAAGCCATACCGCCCAAACCCCTCCCACCCATACCTGTAAGTACTGGAGCCTGTAAGTAGCGGTGCATTCTGGCATTAAGGTGGTCCCCCACTTCCACAGGTATCTGGAACATACCTGTGTTGCTGTTTGAGCCGCCCCCTCTCTGTGTGTCTATCTTTCACCCTCACCTTCCCTTCAAATCCTAACAATCTTACCTTGTCACTTTTTTTGTTGTTGGATATACTTTTCATCTTGGTGCTTAAAGTTGGCTGTTTCATGTCTATAGCTGTTTGTAGAATGTCTGTACTATGCTCTTCAAGAGCACATGCTTCCACAGCCTTATTGAAGCTTGCCAGTGGGCTGTCCCAGAGCTCCTGCCCTCCCTATATATATACCCTCCTGGTGACAAGGCAAAGCCACACCCTTGAGCTTTGTTTGATCATGCAGGCGGTTTCCCAGCCAATGGCAGTCCTAGGATGGCTTTGACATCACAAAGTACACCCCTGACAACTTCCTGGGCTTGGGGGGAAAGGATGAAAGGGTTGTAGAGAAAACCAAATGCTGCTGTTATTTCAGCGTCCCCTGAAGATGCATTCCAAACTGATGTACCGTCTCTCCTCGTTTCTCCATGTTTAATGTTCATGGTTCACATGGATGTGAGAGGACGATCCCTTCAAGCCCTTCCTCATAGTCACTCTTATTAAGTGATTCATTTCCTTGTCTTCCAGCACTCATCATACACTAGTATTTTGGATGTCTCACCTCAAATCCCTCCAAGCTAATGTAACCCGTTTAAAAGTTCCCTTTTCTCTGCATTCTTCCCAATCCATGTTATGTTTCATCACTTTATTAAAGCTATTGTAACAGTGTGAAGAGATATTTCCCTTTAGTTGTAATTTGCAATTCCCTAATGATTGGTAATTCTATTTATTTTAATGTACTGATTTTGCATTTGTATGCCTTTTACAAAATATCTGTTCAGGTTCTTTGCTCACTTTTTAAGGGCATTATTTGTTTTCTTGCTATTAAGTTTTTGAGTTTCATATATTTTTGTGTGTTAACCCCTTATCAGATGTATGGTTTGGAAATATTTCTTCCATTCTGTGGGTTGTTAACTGTCTTTTTTTGCTTTGCAGAAGCCTTTCTGTTTAATGGCATTCTATTGGTCTACTTTTGTTTTCATTGCTTTTGTTTTCAGGATTATATCCAAACAATCTTACCAAGAGCAATGGCATGGAGCTATTTCCTTATGCTTTTTTAGAAGTAGTTTTAGAGATTCACATATTCTGTTTAAGTATTGGTTTTTCATGGTTGCATAGTATTCTATGGTATATGTATGTAATTCATCTTTTCTTTATCCAGTCTGTCATTGATGAGCATTTATGTTGATTTCATGTCTTTGATGTTGTGAATTAAGCGGCAATGAAAATACACGTTTTTGATTTTATAATAGAGTGAGTTATATTCCTTTGGTATATCCCCAATAATAAGATTGCTGAATTGAATGGTATTTCTGTCATTCTGTCTTTGATCATGTACTTTGCAGGGATATAGATAGAGCTGGAGGCAATTATTCTTAGCAAACTAAAGCAGGAACACTAAACCAAACACAGCATATTCTCACCTATAATCAGGAGCCAAACAATGAGAACATATGGACACACAGAGGGGAACAAAGCACACTGGAGTCTAAATGGGTGTGGGAGGTAAGAGAAGGGAGAGGATCAGGAAGACTAACTAATGGATACTAGGCTTAATACCTGGGTAATAAAATAATCTGCATAACTATCCCCCATGACACATGTTTACCTATTTAACAAACATGCACATTCTGCACATATGACCCTGAACTTATAATAAAAGTTTAGAATATGTTCAATTTTTATTTAATTTTGTATGTGGTGGGATAAAAAGGTGAAATTTCATTATGCTGCCTGTGTGTATCCAGTTTTCTCAGTACCGTTTATTGAAGAGGCTCTTTTTTCCCCATTGTATGTACTTGGTACCTTTGTCAAAATCAGTTGACAATAAATAGTTTAGTTTACTTTTGGCTTTTCTATTTTGTTCCATTTCTCTGTCTGTCTGTCTGTCTTTGTAACAGGACCATGTGGCATTGGTTACTGGAGCTTTATAATATATTTTTAAGGAAAGTAGTGTGATGACTTTGACATTGCTCTTTTTGCTCAAGATTGTTTTGACTGTGTAGAGTCTCTTTTGCTTCGATAGTAATTGAAGTATTTTTGATAGCAGCAGCAGCCCATCTAGAGTGGCCATTGCCAAGATGCCACAGCATCAGGGATGTGCAGCCAGGGATATACACTCCATTAGGCAGGCAGGAGCCCTGCCCCCAGGGGCCTGGACCTCTTACTTCACAGAGCAGGCAGGAGCTTCACTGCAGCTCCAGATTGAGGTGTCTCTGTGCTACTGGGAGCCTGGGAGGGTCTTCTACCCAGCACGCTCAGAAGTGCCTTCTCCCACTGATGGTTTCTTCCCATTGCTGGCAACTGCTCCAGTGTCAGAGGTATGGGTGAGGATGCACACTCCACAGAGCCTGCAGGAGCTGGGGACAAGTGGGAGCCCCACCCCTTTCAAGTTGGCTGGGTCAGAGGTTCCCAGGTGCAGCTTCAGCCATCGAAGCCTGACTGCAGACCCAGGATTCTCTGTACTCTTGGGGACCTGGGAAGGTCTCCGTACCCTTGACTGGCTCACAAGTGCCTGTTCTTTTTGCCTGGCATCTCCTCACTATAAGAGCCCACTCTGATCTTGGAACAAAGTTGGGGCTGAGCTCGGACACTATTGCAGCCTGGTTGGGTGAGTGCATGCTTGGGGAGGTGCTGACAGTTTAGGCCCCAGTGACCTTGTCTCCCTCTGGATTTTGGGTACTGACAAATATAGGAGGGATGCTGAGGCAGTGGGGTAGGGGCAGCACAGTGCTGGCCCACAGGTGACAGTTGGAACAAACAGTCTGGGCACCATAAATGGCGGTGGGAGGCAGATAGATTCTGGGTGGAAGAGGGCAGGTCCCTAGTGAAGTCCCACCTTCAGGCTATAAAAGTCCTGTAGCCTGTGGGCTCCTCTGCCAGTTCTGTGGACCAGAGGGATAATGCAATGTCTTTTTTCTTGAGCCTGCCCATGGTTGTCCATGGACAAATCAGTATACACTTTCTCTCTCTGAAGACCATAAAAACCACGGAGCAGAGCATACATCAAGGCAACCAGCTGGAGAGAGGAGCTACCCTATCCAGGCCCTTCTATCTACTAAGAGCTGCAGACGTTGGGATGACATACTTGCAGAGAGGAGCCACCCTCTCGAAGGCCTCTTCTCTGCTGGTAGCAGCAAACATTGGGACAATCAGCCGCAGGGAGGTGATACCCTCTTCAGGGCCTCCTCTCAGCTGAGAGCTGAATACTCCTCAGGATGCTCCGCTGGCAGAGAGGATCCACACACTCCAGACCTCCTCTCTGTTGAAAGCTGAAGAGATACCAGGATTACCTGACTACAGAGAGGAGCTAGTCACTGAAGGTCATCCCTGAGTTGTTCTAACACTGAGTGAAGCTCCTCTTCATCTTGCTCACTCTCTACTTAGGGGTATACCTCATTCTTCCTGAACACAGGACAAGACCTTGGACAAAGGTCCCACTAGCCACAGAGGTTTTTAGCCAGAAAAAGCAATACTCACAAAATTTTAATACATTTCTCTTTCATTCATGTTAAAAACAGCATTGGCATGTTGATAGGGGTTACTGTAAGACTTTAGATTGCTTTGAGTAATATGGACACTTTCATAGTATGTATGAACCTGAAAAAATTTTCCATCGATTTGTGTATTTTAAATTTCTTTTATCATTGTTTAACAGTTACCCAGATATTTTACCACTTTAGTGGAATTCACACCTATTTAATTTTTTTGTTACTACTCTAAATCATATTATTTTATAATATTTTTGAATTTGTTACTAATACATAGAAATGTTACTAATTTTTAAGGTTGATTTTGTATTCTGTAACTTTACTCAATTCATTTATCAATTCTAATAGGTTTCTGCTAAAGGCTTTCAGGTTTTTTTTATATATATAAGATTATGTCATCAGCAAATACAGAAAATTTCACTTCCACCATGGGAGGATAGAGCAAGACCTTCATCAGATCCTGATGAATTGACCTTTACCTTCCTACCCTCCAGAACTGTAGGAGAAATAATTTTGTACTTATAAATTACTCCATCTTAGATATTCAGTTGTAACACCACAAAACACACTAAGGCAGTTTATGACCAGTATATTAATTATTGTAATTACTATTAATGTTATTATCATTGTGTATCTACAAAGTGAAGTACTATAATCAGTGGGCATACAAAAGGAGTAAAAATCTTAGCAGATGAAAAATTTAGACAATTCATTCAACAATTTTCTAAGTTACCTGTGTCTGTACTTGATACTATCCTAGACACTGGGGATGTGATAGATGGAAAAAAGATAAAGTTCCCGCCATAAGGAAACTTGAATTTATTAGCTATAGAACATCTTCCCTGCAGATCAGTTCAATGAGGAAATCCTAAGAAACACCTGAAAATGACATTATAGTGTGATGAATATAATGAGAAGCCAGAGCACATGGAGGAGGAATTTAAAGGGAAGAGACACGTAACCTGGTTTTGTGAGAACAAAATTATGGAAAGATTCTTGGAGGTGGTAATGTCGGTGCCAAGACTAGAAAGACTTATTTGTTGATTTTTAGTTTCTGCACAATACCTGTTAAGTACCTGAAATTGTTCTAAGTGCTTTACAAATAAGTTATCATTAATTTAATGTAATTATCCTGATAACTCTATGAGGTAGGGAAAGTGAAGCATATAGGGGGCTATATTACTTGCCCTAAATCACAAAAGTAGGCACTGATAACAAAGTACATGCCATTAACTGCAATGTTCTTTGTGGCTTCTCCCTCCTATAATGTTTTTGTAAGCTGTGTTGGGGTGAGCTGGAGGTCAAAGGAATGGGGTGTAGGAGAAGTCATTACTCCATGAAAGTCTTAAAACTATATACCTTAATGGAGTAATGGAAAGAACCTTGTAGAAAGATCAAGAAAGAAAATTGAGGGTAATTATGAATATAGTAGAAAGCCAGGTGAGAGATTTTGCTATTTCTGATTGCAAAATATTTGTGTTCCCAGTTGGCACTCATGTAGTGTTATATGACTACACAAAATAATGGATTATTGTTAAGGTATCAGTATTAATATATTTTACTGACACTAAGATACAGATCAAAGAA